CATTTGTTAAAGAGACTCATCCTTTCCTATTGAATAGAGTTGGGTCCTTTGTCAAAATCAACTGAGCATGCATGTTTGGATTTATTTCTGGGTTTCTAATTCAATTCCATTGGTCTGGGTGTCTATCATTAAGCCAGTACCAGGATGTTCTGTACCAGGATGTGACTTCACATTGCTTAGTTCTACAATCAACACCAATGGAAGCAGCAGTCAGGACATCAGACAACGTTTAGCACTGGGCAGATTGGCGGCAAAGGACCTCTTTCAAGTGCTGAAGAGCAAAGATGTCTCCTTGAGGACTACCTTGTGCCTGACACAAGCTATGAAGTTGCCTCATATGCATGTGAAAGCTGGACAATGAATAAGGGAGACTGAAGAAGAATCAATGCCTTTGAAATGTGGTGTTGGTGAAAAATGCTGAAAGGACCATAGACTACTAAAAAAACTAACAGGTCTGACCTGGAGGAAGTGCAGCCAGAATGTTCCTTGGAGGCGAGAATGGCCAGACTTCATCTCACATACTTTGATCATGTTGTCAGAAGGGACCATTCCCTGGAGAAGGATGTCGTGCTTGGTAAGGTGAAGGGTTGATGAAAGAGGGTGTTCTGGTTACCTAGTACCGCTCTGACAGGAATATACCACAAATGGGATGGCTGTGACAAATAGGAGTTTATTCTCTTACAGTTCAGGAGGCTGGAAGTCCAAGTTCAAAGTGCCAGGCTCTAGGGGCTGGGTGAAGCCCTCAGCCTTGGGCTTCAGCTCTGCCTCCAGCTCTCGGCCCACTGAAGCTGGAGGCTTTTCTTCACTCAGACAGCTGCTGGCTGCTGAGGCTGATAAACTCAAGGTTGACAAGTAAAAGGCACAGTCCCGATGTTACCAAACCACATGGCAGGCCATTAATTTAAGTCCATTGTAAGTCCCAAGGTTGGCAGAGCATGGCAGGCTGCTGAACAATGACACAGCTACATGCAGGGTCCAAGTGTGCCATAAGGAGACCATTCGCAAAGCTGTTTCTTATATACGGGAAGCAGACCACATACCCAGAGCAGCTACTCAGCTGCTTGTGGTAGATCTCACCATGGAGTTGATTGCCAGTCTCATCATGGGGAATAACTACCACCAGCTGCCCAGCCACTCAACCAGGCCCAGCCAAGTTGACACACAAACATAACCACCACAGAGGGGAAGGCCCTAAACGAGATTGATTGACACGGTGGCAGTGGCAATGGGCTCAAGTATAGCAAGAATCATGGAGCTGGCGGTGTTTTGTTCTGCTGTGCATAGAGTCACTATGAGTTGGAAATGACTTGGTGGAACCCAACAACAACAGGATGTTCTAATTACTGTAGGTGTGTTTTGTAATATGTTTTGAAGTTGGGACTATCTGAATCAAAACATTTTCACAAGACGTTCTTAGACCCGCAACAGTATATTCAAATACTGATTTCCCTCCTTTCACTGTCACTGCCACTCTCCCACCATTGTTTGAAAAATATTGCCATTGAAAAAATACTTACTTTTTCTTGTGGTTATCAATATTGTGCAATACAAGGAGTCCTGATCTAGGAGTTTAGAAGGCCTGGGTCACTTTGGGCAAGTCACTTAATATCTGTCTGTTTTCTCATCTTAAAATAACGATAATAACACCTGTCTTGCTTACTTCACTTATGAGGATCTGATAAGCCTATGGACACCACTTTATATGTTATAAAGAGAGTTTGGCAAATGGAAGTGACCATTACTGTTATTAAATATAGAAACAAACCATATTTTGTGATATCTTACGTCAGTCAAAGCAGATTTATCTGTTAAAATTGCCATAATATTTACAATTAATGCAGTATGAATAATGAGGAATGTGTACCCTTGAAGTTGATTACTCTCCATTGGTAAAAATCATACATTATTTAATCAAACTCTGTTAATAACTTTGCTATTGCAACAAACTTTGGGCATATAGATAGATGTTTTAATACAAATTAATGTCCTGAAAAATACCAGTAGGAAGAATGTCAAGTAATATACTTAAGAATAATTTGAATTATGAAGGAGTCATAGTTTTAATTAAAACTGTAGTTGTTTCCTTCTAGCAGTAGATGCCAGTAGAGTGCTTTGTTTTTTCAAAAAATAAAATTAAAATTGCCTAAGGACTTCCACAGCAACAGCTTCCTAGTTACAGTACCATATATAGAAACATTACTCTGAGGGCTTAATATTCTACTTTCCTTAAGAACTTTGTAATAAATGGAAACAGTCTTACTAACAAAGATGGACCAATTTCACATGTAGTCTTAGAGATACTTATCTAGTAAATTTTTCTTTCTGTTGAAATTACTTTTTTTTGGCTATTGAAGTTGCTTTTGTTGTAAAGCTTATAAGTTATTTTAAATAATCTTAGTTCTAGTTAAACCAAAAAACAAAATCCACTGCCGTCAAGTCGGATCCCACTCATACCTACCCCTCCTTGGGTTTCTGAGGTGGTATCACTACTAAAGTAGATCACCCAGTCTTCCTTCCGAGGAGTGGCTGGTGGGTTTGAACCATCAGCCTTCTGGTTAGCAGTCAAATACCTTAGGCATTACACTACCAGAGCTCCTTAGTACTAAGTAGGAATCTGGAATTTAGTGTAGCGCCTAAGGCACTTGACTGCTAACCAGGAGGCTGGTGGTTCAAACCCACCAGCCACTCCTCGGAAGGAAGGTTGGGCAATCAACTTCCGTAGTGATACTGCCTTGGAAACCCAAGGAGGGGTCACTATGAGTCGGATCCGACTTGATGGCACATAACAACAACAACTCAGGCAACTCAATACAAGTCTTGTCTAGCTATTTTGTGTTATAAGGCAACTCAGTACAAGTCTTGTCTAGCTATTTTGTGTTATAAATGAATAGGAGAGGCTGAAATATTAGAACTAGTTTGTGCAATTGGCAAGGGAATAACATGAACAAATAGTTTGGAAAGATCAGTGTGGCATGAATGATTGAAGAGGGAGACTGTAAGGTAAGGGATAATTTTAAAAGATCCACTTTTGCTCTAATAAAAATTAGTGAAAATGGAACTCAGAATGATTAAGAATTAGTAACTGGTTGAATATAGAATAAAAGGGTAAGTTGAATGATATTAACTTCTGTTTCTATAGTTTCTATATAGGAGGAATTTAATACTTGCTGCATTATTTACAAATATGATACTATTATAAAGAAAACTAAAACATTTTCAAATGCTTGATTGTGTTTTGAAATGTTAAAAATAGACTTATACTTTTTCATTCAATATATATTTGATTGATTTCCTAAATACCTAAATTTATTGAGTATATAATACATGCATTGCATTTATGAATTCAAGTAACTCAGAATTTAGGAAGACATAAATTTATAAACATCCAATTTTAACAGAAATGGTAAGATCAGTGTAAACAGAGAAGAGAGCATTTTATTTATCTGGGAAGTATGTAGAAGATATTGCAGGGTAGGTAACATTTGTGGTGAGCCTTGAGGATGAATTACCCCCAGGAGAACAAGTCAAAGGAAGTCAGGAATTTTATCCACTTCTGCACATACAGAGTCTGCACATACTATGTAGAGGCTGGGTAGATGTTGATTCAAGTTTGCAAACCCTTACTCAATGTCTGTTTTGTGTAAGACACTGTTAGACATGAACAAGCAAGTTATGTATTACACATACAATATTTATACAAAGAGCTACAGATTTAAGAAGTCTTATAGATATTGTTGCCTATTTTTTAGACTGATACTAATTTTATTATGTAAAAAAGTTGACACAAATAAGCTGTTGTTTGGCAGATTTATTAGTGATTGTTTCCTGTGGGGGGGGGCGCGCATAATTTGATTATATTCTTGTTCCTATTCTATTTGTCATTATTGTTCCTATTTATTGTATTTCTCAAGCAGTTGGCAGGAAATCTGGACTAATGTATTTTTTAAAAAACTATTTTTTGTTCTTTTCTTTTTATAGTCCTTATTTAGAACTTTTGAAAACAAAAGCACACAAATTTCTCATCCTTTAATTTGTTAGTCTCAGAAGACAAGTACTCCAAATCATTGTTAAATGCCCAGCTGCTTTTGTTTTTCTGCAAATGGACAATGGCAAATTTTATTTACTTTTAGTAGAAGGAAATGTTTCTAAATGAGACCACTAAATCAGGGATAAGGTAAGAGTAGTTGTCAAGTGTTAAGTTTTTAAAATAAATATGTCTCACTTAACTAAAGGATTTATTTTTCTCCCAAATGAAATTTCTTGCTATAATTGATTTTAAATCTTAAATATCTTCTTTTTCCAAATTTTAGAATATTTTTAAAAAATACTCCTGATAGTCACTTGTCAGCAAATTATAAATTTGATAAACAATATTGACATATTTTCTTTAGTTCCTGTGTCTGTTAGGCTTAAATGAATGAGTTAGCAATATTCAGTTCTTTTTTTTTAAGTGCTAGTTCAGATTTTTCCTTAGTTATAACATGTGTGTTATAAATTTGTTTTGTGAGAGCTTTGTCATAACTATTCCAATACCAGTGTCAATGAAAATTTACCTGCTGACAAGGATGCCTAGAATCTGTAAATTAGCTGATTTCCTGGAAAAATAAAAATTTTCTTTTGAACATGTTATAATACAAGGATGCTTTGGCCCTAAATTGTTGTAGAGTTGTAATACATATTTAACTAGTTTTCTTTTTTCATTATTTTCAGCCTACTATATGTGTAAGGCTTTATACTTAATGCTCTCATTAACAGATTAGTACTAAAACACTGTTAAGTATAGGCGTTATTTTGTTTTATACATTTAGAATGATATTGCAAGTTTTAAATCACCATCTCTAGGTGAGATGAAAAGAATTTTGCTAAGAAAAGCTTAGTAATGTACTGTTTTATATTAACAGGAAACAGAACAGCAGTAATTATTTGAATACGCTGCAAACAGGAAGTTTGACATATGCGTAGCTCTTAGCTTCTGTGTAAGAAGTTGTTGAGCTCCTTCTGGAAATATTTTCAGTTACTTTAAGAAAAGTGTAAATGCACATGAATGGCAGCTTATAGAGAACTACCTTGTAACCAGTATACAGGTACAACTACTGCTCTTCAGAAATTGGAAGGTTTTGCTAGCCGATTATTTCATAGACACTCTAAAGGTGCTGCACATGATCAGAAAACAGCTTTGGAAAATGACAGCCTTCATTTCTCTGAACATACTGCTTTATGGGACAAATCAAGTAAGTTGTTTTTTTTTTTTTAAGTGATACATTATAAGTAGCAGCTGAAACAGTAAGTGGCATTTTAGAACAAACTTAAAAACTGTTTTGTCTGTCTTTTAATGGTTTACATAGGACATTCTTCAAGATGAAGTTGAAAGAATAACTTTAAATTTTACTATAAGTTGAGTTGACTCATGTATGTAGTTCATTGTTTTCTTTTATATATGGCTATTTAAGTTGATTATCATTTGGAAAATTTTCTTCAAAATTCTTAACATTTCTAGAATGTGTTAGTATTTTTTTTGTTTTTGGTCTTATATAAAAATGAAATGCTTAAATTTTAGAAAAGATGGCTAGTTTACTTTTTAAAGTTCTTAGATTAATAAACCTCAAAAGAGGTGAGAAGACTCTTGAATTCATAATTAAATTTCTGTTATGCTTGCTATCTTTTATTTTTAAATGCACATGTGAAAGTTATTTCATATGTTTAACATGCAGGAGTTTCTTTAAAATGAAAGCATAGTATGATTCTATGTAAAATTTCACATTTATAATATTATGAATATAAAAATCTTTCATCATTATATTTTATATAATTTATAATTATGGCTAAAAGGGAAAAATGAGTTCTTTATACATGCATCACATTTTTTACGCTTGTTAAAACATTTGGAATTACTTCTTTGCTGAAATGGGGATATGAAACCATTTTTGGTGTTATGCATTTTAAAGATTAATTTCACATATAAACAATACCAGTGCCTCCATTCCACATTTCACCTTGGATCCTGCCTCAAGTATTTTTGTCATTCTGATTAAAAGAACAGTAGAATTACCCTTGGTACTCTTGCCCTTGTTATTGTGTATTTGATCATAAAGTAGCAGTAGTTTACCTCTTTTATGTATATATACTATAGCAGTTAAGCAAGATAACTCAGTTTAAAACAAATGGGAAAAAAAGAGCAGTTTCAAAAATTTACTCCTTGGTTTGTATAGTACATTCATACTTCTGTCAAAGCTATTTGAATGATTTTTTACTGCATTTTTTTTCTTACTTTCTTCAAGCAATTTAAGTGAGAAAATGAATGAAAACATATTTTTGTGAAAATTTTTTTCACTTCCAACATTATGATTCTTTATTGTTAGTCCTTACTATATAGGAAATTGACGAGGAATTTCAATATATCCAAATTAATGACTGATCAAATACTTAATAGCACATTATTAAAATTTATTATGTAACTGAAGTTTGTTATTCACTCTACTTGCCCTGTTTTTTTAAAATTGCTCTCTCCTGCCCTTTTGTAAATCATTTTATGCATTTCAAAAATCTTTTAATCTAAAGGTAAATGAGCATCGAGGATAGTATTAAGTTAATTCGTTTCATTAATACTGTTCTCCATGATAGGTGTTTAATAAATGTATCTCAGAAGAGTGGTTGTGGGCTTTTAATCATTAAAAGTTATGTTTGAACTATACTCTCACCATTTTTTTTAAATATACAAGTGATGTTTTCTGATACACATTTTAAATTCGAGCAATGGGAGATAGTATCATGAACCATGATTTCTTCTGGAAAAAAAACATGCATACTGATAATATGCTGTTAAAGCTTTTTCTTTCTATAAAGTCAAAATATAACATAAATAGGATCCTTGTTCACAAGTAAAATTAGGTGCAAATCTTGTAGCTCTGCAAATAAATAGGCATATACCCCCAAAAAACTTGATTGCAATTGAGTTAATTCCAACTCATAATAATAGGTATAGTGTAGGAAATACTTTGAGTAACTGAATGCTCACTAGTCAAGTATTCTTCCACTTTCTTCCTCCTTTCATATCCTAACAGATCATAATTAAAACAGCAATTGTATATATATTGTTGTTGTTGTTGTTATGTGCCGTCGAGTCAAACCCAACTCATAGCGACCCCTCCTTGGGTTTCCGAGGCAGTATCACTACAGAAGTAGGATGGCCCAACCTTCCTTCTGAGGAGTGGCAGGTAGGTTTGAACCACCAGCCGTCTGGTTAGCAGGCAAGTGTCTTAGCCATTATGCTACCAGAGCTCCCTGTATATATATATATATATATATATATATGGACAAGTATAGGAGCTCTAGTGGCACAGTGATTAAGCACTCAGCTGCTAACATAAAGTTAGTGGTTGGAACCCACCAGCTGCTCCATGGGAGAAAGATACAGCAATCTGCTTCAGTAAAGATTTATAGCTTTGGAAACTTTATGGGGCAGTTCTGCCCTGTCCTATAGGGTCACTATGAGTTGGAATTTGAGTCAACAGAGTTTGATTTTTGTTTGTTTGTTTTGGGGAAGAGCGAGTATAAAGGAGGAGCTCTAGTTTCCTATTATGAACTGTGTTGGTATGGAAGAGAAAGCACGGATAGTGAAGAAACAAAGAAATCCTATTATTTTACAATTCAAAGGTTTATCTTTGTGGTGAAAACACTAATATTTTTCATTTTTTATCTCATAATGTGAGATATGAAAGGAGTTTTGACTGTACAAAATTTGCATACAAACCACATTTTTAAAGGTACTTAAAACATTTTACTTGCATGACTTGTTTGACAAGGAAAAGGAATGCAGTATCTCTTGGTGATAAACACTCTGAATATGCTTGTTCCAAAAGTGCTATTTTAAGAAATCCACTAAGCACAGAAACTGTATGTAACTTTTTTTAAGAAAAACAAAGTAAGTTCATGGACTGTTGAGTCAAGATTCATTACCAATTTAGGCAGATATGAAATAGTAACAAGCATTAGTCCAACGTTCTTTCTTTTCCAAGGACAATATATATAGGAAGAGATAACAGAATAATGGCCAAACACATAGTGGTTTCCAGATGCCTTTAATGTGTTCCACCATTTACTACTACTAAATTAAGTAACAGGAATTCTTGTTTTGTAACAGATAATTAACAGCTGATTCCTTGTGCATGTAAGTATGTCATGCTCAAGGGAAAGCCATGGAGGAATTCTGCTTTTTGCTCTGACTTAGAATGAATGGGAATATTTACGTTCATTGGATTCTCTTTCTAGTGAATTTATTATGGTTAGCTTTTGATGAATTTGACAGGAGTTTCACAAATTTAGGTAGTTGACTTTATACAGGAATGAAAGTCCAACTATAACATTTTAAGAACTAAATAGGTCAATACCATCAAACTCTCTACCTATCCTTCTTTCTGATGATTTGACAGGCTATTTCTCTGGCAATACAAATCCATATTAATGAATTTTATATTTAAATACTATCTTGTGAAAATAAACATTTTTGTTATAGATTTATTCAGGTCTATAAGGGTAGCTAAAGTGGTTATAATGGACTACTTTATCTAATCAGGGAGCTCTGGTGGCATAGTGCCTAAGGCACTTGACTGCTAACCAGAAGGCTGGTGATTCAAACCCACTAGCCACTCCTCAGAAGGAGGGTTGGGCAATCTACTTCTATAGTGATACTGCCTTGGAATCCCAAGGAGGGGTCGCTATGAGTCGGATCCGACTCAAGGACTCAACAGTGGTGCGTTTGTTTTTTCTGGTTTTTATCTAGTCACTTTTACCTTTCCAAAACTCATACAATCTTTAAGACAATTCATTTCCAAGCTATTTCTTAGTCAACTGAATCTGTGTCGTTTTAACTTGTAAGCTAAAAGATTTTCCATATTATTATTTATATCCTTTTTCCATCTGCAACTATTTCATAAACTTCTTGGTAGTAATTACTTTTTATTCATTTGACAAAACTTTTGAGTATTTACTCTATGATAGTTTGTAAATAAGACTGTGGGGAGAAATAAGGTCTAGTTCTTACCCTCAAAAACAAAAGTAAGTAGAACAAATAAATACACATGCAGCATAATATTTAAGACATAATGGAATAGTTGCTTAAAAATGTGTATGTAGATTACTGTGGGAACTTAGTGTAATAGTGGAAGGAGAAATTAATACTAAAGAGAAGATGAGACCTTCAGGAATGTTGAATAGTAAATAGAATTTTGAGACCCAGGGTAAGAGGAAGAAGTTATTATAAGAAAATAGTGTGCACAACAATATGAAAACTTAGAGTTTACTTAAAATATATGGTAAAGACCTCTCTAAAGTGTTTGAGGGCAAAGATATCACTTTGAAGACTAAGATGCACCTGACCCACGCTGTGGTATTTTCAGTAACCTCATATGCATGTGAGAACTGGACGGTGAATAAGGACGACTGTGGAAGGATTGATGCACTTCAGTTGTGGTGTTGGTAAAGAATATTGAATATACCAGGGATTGCTAGAAGAATGAGCAAATCCATCCTGGAGGACATATAGCCAGAATGCTCCTTAGAAGCGAGCATGGCCAGACTTCATCTCACCTACTTTGGTCATGTTGTCATAAGGGACCAATCTCTGGAGAAGGATATCATGCTTGGTAAAGTAGAGGGTCAAAGAAAAAGGGGAAGACCCTCAATGATATGGATTGACACAGTGTCTGCAATGATGGGCTCAAGCATAGCAACAACTATGAGGGTGGCAATATTTAGTTCTGTTGTACATAGGGTAGTTATGAGTTGGAAGCAACTCAACAGCACCTAACAGCAAACAACATATGGTAAAATAGTGTCTAGAATGGTAGCTTGTAGATGTGATCTCCGAAATCTTTCTATTAGATATCCAAAATGTCAGAGTACATTCTAATTAACAGTGGGTACCCAGTGCAGTTTTTTTTTTTTTTTTTAAAGAAGAGAATAACACAATGCAAACTTTGTTAAAAAGAACGTAAATAAACTTAATTTTAATCAACAAATACAGGAGGAGGAGATTACCTTGTTTATTCTACTACAGGGAAATGTGTATAGCTACAACCTCTTTTTTTTTTTTTTTTTGCTGGGTACTTGATTAGAACTAGTGCATTTAGTTACTACAATGAACTTGGCATGGCAACAAATAGATTATGGATTCCTTTAGTAATAATTGCTTGTTTGGGATGATTTTTGTACTTGGAATTCCATTTCCCTACTT